TGTTCTCTTTAATGCCTGTCATGACTATTATTGCGATTTTTTTAGTTTGAAAGACATTCACTTCTCTGATGGCAGCCACGGGATACAGCAGCTTTTCATTTATGTCATTCAAAACAACTGTCACTACATCCAATCCTGCGACTGTGACATCAGTTGTCAAAAATTCAAGTATTTCTTTAAGTTACATGTCATATACTCAAGGTTAGACAATATGTTACCTCATTGCCATTCATTTCAGCAGTTAGGGTATCTAATACTGAAAATGTTGTGATGAGAATTTTTTAGCCACTGCATATATACATGAGAACTCGCTCCATTATTGCTTCAGAGTGACATCCCACCTCATGTAGTAGCTGCATACTAATTACAGCAGAACAAAATTAAATCTAATTACCTCGTTTACACTTTGCACAACTAAGGCACAGTTATGGAGGGACCTGCACTTAAAGTGACTCATTAGCTTACTTCTCCAAACTAAAGTGTCATTTAGCTCTCCTCTTTTTCTTATGACAAAGCCCATTAAAAAAATTATCAGTCTCTATCAAGTCATGTAAATGAGCTAGTTTCCCTTGCTGTTCTAGAGAATTAGAAGTAATGGAAGGCTTATGAAATGGTACAACGCATGATCTGGATGTTACTCCGCTAGAATGTTAAGTTATAATTATTCTGCAGTTTTTATCTTTTGTCTGTGCTGATATAGGGTAATTTGTTGAAATAAGGGGCATTGACAACAGAGCCTTCCCTTCTCTTTTACAATTCCCAGCCTTCCCCTTATTGATAACATCTACTATGACCTCATTGATATCTGCTCCCTTTGTTTGATCCTTTAATGGGTCATCAATAGCAATTGGAACAGTGCTTGATGTAGACCACTGCAATACAAACAAGTGGTTAAACCTTTCATAAACTGATCTACTTCCTAGTCCTATAGATATCAGTGAAATTCTTCAATTACTACTTATTTTTAACAAGACAAACTTTTGTCTAATGTTATTGATGTATCATGTACTATAATTTTTGCTTTTTTGAATAAAAAGTTTGAGTGCTGATTTTTTGCAATTTTGTTATTATTGACAACCTGGGGGCGAATGTCAACACTTACATTTCTTCTATACATCTTGTATTAATGTATTGGAGAAAATCAACCACCTGCCTACTCTCCTTTCCATATGGATGTGGTCACGGCAAATAATGCACATGGATGATTGGACAAACTAATGCTTTCTAACAGCAAGAGAAGGAAGATATACACTCTAAAGACTTTTCTAGAAGCATTTGAAGGTCAAGAGAACCTTTATAAGTCTTAGTAAGTGCTCCGTTATGCATGCAAGGTGGTGAAATCAGTTATAAGAATATTTTACAGTTATTATTATTATTATTATATACATGTATAATTATTATTAGAATTTTACAGGACTTAGATCTATATAGATTAGAGGTGAACAGACAGGAAAAGGGTGGAGGAGAGATTAAGAAAGCCTAAAGGGTTTAAGGAACAATTATCCTGAATTTTAAAACCATTCCCCAAAAATGCAATAAGTAGTACTCATGAATGTTTCGATTTACCAAGTAATGAAAGGGCAATCAAGATGGCAAATGACTTTCCTGTCTGGCATGGTTTATATGCAAGTGTGACCGGACATGAGCCCAAAGTACAGTAATGCATTGTGCTTGCAACAGTGATGATTGCTGGGATGAAATTAGGAAGGAAGCATTCTTTCATTAGCTCCAATAGTTTGTGTTGCAAAAATGAAACATGCATTAGCATGAAATAAACTTCCTGGCTAGAATAGGTGAATTGATG